GCTTAAGACTTCTATAAACCAAATGTAAAAAGACTTTCATAATGGCATAGTTTTTATCTATTTTAATAAACACAATATTTGTCTTGCAGTATCATCTTCAACTGCTGGGTACTCCTTTCTTCAGTAAGAGATGATGCATGTGTTCGGCGATTGTGTTTTAATTTTTCTGCAATTTCTGCTAGAAATTTTTTCTATTGTCGGCAGTTCTATAGCGCCACTAACTGCAAATTTCCTTTAAGCTTTTATTGTTGTTGCCTTAGGGGTAGCAAACGGCGTAAAGTAAGGTAGTATTCTCGTAACTGCAACCGAACCTATGTCCTACAATCGTAAGAGTGTTGACCGATTTCAGTTTATAGTGAAATTAAATTCACTTGGATTTTAGAATGCAGTTTTGATGAGTTTGATTTCCGATTAGTTCGAAGTTGTTTTTGTTGTTAATAGCTTCCTATAAAAAATTTAATTTTTTTTTCTATAAGTAAGCAAAATATTTCATTATAAACTCAATAATTCTCCTAGAAAGTAATTTATATTTTATTCGGAAGTATAAAGGTGAACATGCTTTAATATGTAATATACATAGATTATTACATTCAATGTAAAAATATATAAAAAGAAATTTTTGCTATGAACCATTCATTGGAAATCTATGGATAAATCGAGATTCATCGAAATGGGTTTCTTTCATCTTTAATATCAGTTTGGGATTTATCTTTTGACATCTTTTGATGAAATGGTTTTCATTAATTTTGATTTCAATTTGGCAACTAGGTCGAAGATAAAGGAAGTTAAATCAGTTCAATACTATAGATGATCTATAAGAAGAATACTTTTTTGTTGCTTTTTTTCGGTGCAGCATTATCGTGCATCAAAAACTAACTTCTAACTTTAATATTCTATATGAAATTGTGAATCTTTTGACTTACAAAAATTGCAGAATTGCCACACAATATTCCACGTCAACCATTCCAGCTTCTTGGTTGAATTAACTGAGAAGAGTTCGAATTGAAGAATTGTCAGCATTGCTTTAATTTCATTCTACATTGTACTCTGACATATTATTTTAGTCTATTAAGATATACCAGATTTAATCACCAATTACAATGGTTGACATGTATCAATATTTCTATGGAAAAGTTTTATTTTAGAAAAATACGAGAAAGTCTTCCGCAAACACGACTTTGCGCTGCCCAAATGCAAATCCACACTTCGTCTAAAAAGTTTTAGTGCAAAAACAAATTTTTCGGAAAATTTAAATAAATTTAAATTTGGCTAAAGTTACAGTACTACAGGAATCAATGGAATGTCATGACGCTAGCATAGTTTATCTTTCAGATTTTGCAAATAAAAATGTATGTTGACGGGATATATTGAATTAAACCCAATATACCGTTAAGATTACCACATCTTTAGATTACCCAAAGAAAAGCAATTATTCCAAGCACCAATATCTGTAACTAGATAAGAAACGAGAAGAATTTCTAATATTAACAGACTTCCTGAGTGCAAAAGCAAACCATCTTACAAAGAAAATAGCAAACAAAAAAATACTTAATACATCAGAAACTACACTGTTAAATCGTATATTCAGTGTATTAAATATATTAAAATCTGAAACGTATGTATAAAACAACCCACAATCATGAGTCACCAATTTAAAGTGCTACAGAAGTAATTCCCTCAGAAGATTTACAATTATCTTAATTTGGTACAGTTTTTATTATTTCGCGCAAATTTTCTTCTTGAACATATTCCTATTCTACGAAACGTTAATTCCATAAATCGTTTTCTGAAACAAGTCACTATTGCTCTTTGCACCACAAAGGCACAAATTTACTATGATATACCAGTAATGATTTGAGCAATATTTATACGTCCATATCCATATGTCCCTATGTGGTGTACTTCCACAAAAATGTACCTTCTTTCCCAGCAAATTATTTCTCTGTACTTATTCATAAATTGTAGGAAACATCCCATATAATGGATAACTTAACACTTTTATCTTGATAATATTGCAAAAAGCTTTAAAGGTTTTCACTATAAACGTTTTGACATTTATAAGTCACATCTTCTATATATAACGTTACACTTCATTAACAAATGTACAACTTTGGTACGTAGATTCGAAACATGTGGAGTTATACGTATATTGTCGAACTTCACTCAATAATGTTATTCATTTTTTAATACATATTTTTTTATAAAAAAAAACAAAACGCAAGATAGATGCACTCGAATTTTATTGAAATTTGCTAATACAAATTATAAGAATTAAGTACTTGAGTTATGTATTAATTAAATGTTTAGCAAATGTCACTCCGAATTACATTTATTGTCCACTAATGAGTCACCAACAACATCTGCACCATCGACAACAGTAGGAGATGCAACCTTAGAAGCGCCCTCTTCATTTAAATTATCGGAATTATCGGAATCATGGGAAACATTTGAATTTGCTAACTTATCACATTTGTCCCAATCATCAGAATTATCTAAGTCTTCATTTTCCGACTCATCTTCATCACTTGAATGTGGATCAAATTCAGGCATTTCACCGGTGAAGTACAAAACAGCTTTCGGTATTACACGTGAGTGAAACAAAAGTCCAAAATTATGATCAATAATTAGGGACGCTCCCATGTCATTTTTTATAGATTCCGCTGGATCAAAAAACTTAAAAAAAGACGGGCGTGGAACAGTCATAGAAACAATTTTATTTGTATCATCTCTGGAGATTCCCTTAACTGTTTCTAACGTTAGATTCATGTCTTTCTTCCAATTTATCACGCAACCTTGACTATTGCAAATACGAGGCCCACTATGATGAAATGGCATTTTTTCGTCAGGATCAAAAGTCAAATTGTATTTTTTAGTGAGAACCTCGTTAGTAAAATAATCATTTTTTTCAAAATAGAATTCAAGAGTAAAACCATTTGTTTCATTGCACTTTTCTCTTATATCAATTAGTTTTCTAAGGAGTGGCTCGTCATATTCCTCTATTAAATGAGCAAGCGCACTCACATTGCGCATTACTGTTAACCAAAAATTGGGTATGCCGATAGCATCACCAGACAATTTTTTATACTCCTTCAAGTGTTCCTCAAAGTTATAATTATTCTTTGTATTTTCATCATCTGCGGCTACCTTCCATTTTACCTCTTGCTTTGATGGATCAAACTCACCAGAAATAATTTTAAATCTTTGATCATAAAATTGTTGACACTTGGCAGCGTGCTTTACCTCTAAGTCATTAATTTCCTTGTAGAATTCAGAGTCTATCGCACTTTGATCAATTTGAGCATTCTTCAAAACAGTGATGCGATTTTGAATCGCCTTAGGGAAGGTTTTCACCATGTCATGAAGAAAATGACGGCGTTCGGCAGAATTGATGAGTCCCGGTAGAAAGCTCTTGGACTTCTGATCAGGGAAAGTTGCGCTACATGGACCACCTTTAGTGGTGCATTTACTCTTTATTGCTGAAATAAAAGTAAATTTGTTTTTAAATAAACTCGTAAAATCGAAAAGGGAAGAATATATATGCAAAACTTTCAAAACACCCCAGTTTGCAATTAAAAAATGTTTACATATAATACCAGTCTACAAATATATATTTAGAGGCCATCCATTGTACATAATATACAATATTGAAAAATTCATTTACTCACCGAGTTTTGAGCGTTTTGGCATTATAAAGTTCAATAATATGCGCTATGCAGAAGATAATTCAATTGACAATGTACTTTGGGAGTTTTCCAATTATGGAAACAAATATAGTAACTGAGTTGATATTTGATGAGTTAAGAACAATTTTTATTTTTATTTTTATTTCTAACTAATTTTGATATAACCCCGCATGCTTGTCGAATATGTATCAATAATTATATTGACTATGGATATATGTATTACAAACAAACAAATACGAGCAGAATTACAGTTTCAGGGGTGCTCCGATTTGATGTCGATTTGACGACAGATCGTGATAAAATTGATTGCTCTGAGTAATTTTTTCACTGCGTTGTATATCGATGCCTCAGAAGTTTCACATAGGAAGAGAATTTTATCCTCCATGCACATGCGCTGTACAATGGCAAATTTTTTGAAGAAAAAATCATTTGAAGCACACAAAGTATTTCAAATGTTTGAAGAATGCATTGGGCAACAGTATTATATTCAATCAAATACCATTTATTATTATCTACCATATATTATGAAAACTTTTAAAATATTTACTATATTTCGTACTAATAGAAAAATTTAGATTAGCTTGATTCACACAGATTGATATTCACAATGCTCCGTGGTTCTCTACTGTGCAATTAGCACTTATTGATTGATTCAAGACATAAGATTGATCCCAAGAGTACGCTGAGGTGTCATTAGGCGAATAATAAAAGTAACGTGAACTGCAAAAGAACCTTATGTTCAACATGATATTGCGAAATGAGAAGCGACAGGGGATTTCTCTTTAGATGGAAAAAGTCAGGTAAAGAATTGCACGAGTGAGAGGAAATTGAGATGTATAGATACAGAAATAAGGCCCGCGAATTTAGGCATGGAATATTAACCCGAACGAAAACGATAATGTGACTGCGAATACACAGTGTGTGTTGAAGATATTTTGTTTTTTAAAACGCCTGTGTTGTAATAATAACATCAGTTCCTTCTCTGGATAATTGTACTCGGAATCCGTATTTGAATATAATGATGCTGAAATCTTACCATAAAAATATAATGAAGTGAGTGCTTATAATCCGCGACTCTGTCTTGTTCCTAAAAGTAATGACCACAAATGCACACTGTGACAAATACAGGCAAAAGACCATGAATAAATAAACGACATATACCCATAACCTTACTATATCATTTATTTTATTATAGTGGTTTTAGTTGAATGCTGTTAAAATATTCAAATAATAAATATAGGTAAGGTATTGTGGGACTTCAATTACAACAATGCTAGTAACTTATTTTAAATATATCGTCTTTAAAAAAAAACCATCTATATGAAATTGGAATTTATTGACATTCTTAAGTGCATTTTATAAGATAGATATAGATGTGGTTAGGAAATATGTTAGTTAAATGTTCAACATTTTTTATTGAGGATTACATTCATTGCTCACTAATGGGCTGGAATTAGTAGTAGCAGATGCACCTCCAGCAGCACCTTCTTCATTTAAATCGTCTGAATCATCTAAATCTTCTGAATCATCCGAATCATCTGAATCATCTGAGTCATCGTTTTCTGACTGATCTTCATCACTTGAATATGGATCAAATTCAGCCAATTCACCAGTGAAGTACAAAATAGCTCTAGGTATGATACGTGTGCGAAAAAAAAGTCCTAAATCATAATCAAGAGTTAGGGTCTCTCTAATATCTTCATCGATGGATTCTGATTCTGATTCTTGCACAACCGGTGGATTAAAAAAATGAAAAAAAGAAGGACGTGGAACATTTTTAAATAAGATTGTATTGGCGTTATCTTTAGAGGCTTTCTTCGCCGTCTTTAATGTTATGTTCATATCTTTTTTCCAATTAATACGACAGCCTTCAGATTTACACACAAGAGGCCCATCATATTGAAATGGCATTTTTTTATCAGGCTCGAAGTTCCAAGTGTATTTTTTAGTGAGCACCTTATCAGTGAAATAATCATTATTCTCAAAATGAAATTCAATAGTAAAAGAGTTTCCGTCATAGTTCTTATCTCTAATATCAATTAGTTTTCTGAGGAGAGGTTCATCATGTTTCTCTACCAAATGAGCAATCACATCCACATTGCGAAATATTGTGAGCCAGAAATTGGGTATGCCGATACTGTTATTAGATAGTATCTTGTACTCTTTTAAGGCTTCATCGAAGTTGTGGTCCCCTTTTGCATTTTCATCATCTACGGGTACGTTCCACTTTGCTTGTTGCTTAAGTGGATCAAACTTACCAGAAATTATTTCAAATCTCTGATCGTAAAACTTCTGATACTTGGCAGCGTACTTTACTTCCAACCTACTGATTGCTTTGTGGAATTCAGAATCACTCACAATTTGCTCAATTTGAACGTTCTTCAAAACTGTAATTCTATTTTGGATTGCCTGAGGGAAACTTTTAACCATGTCATGAAGAAAATTACGACGTTCGGCAGCTCCTAAAAATCCAGGTTGAAATTTCTTGGACTTTTTGTCAGAGAAAGTTTCGCTACATCGACCTCCTTCAGGCGTACACTTACCCTTTATTACTGAAATATAAATAAAATAATTTTATACATATGATATCTAATAAGAAGAAAATAAATGAAAGACTTTTGAAGAAACCCATTTCGCAATTTATGTGTATATGTGTAGATGTTTGGAGAATGAAACGGTTGTCGCTCCGAAAGAATAAATCAGATATATAGTAAAGATTAGATGTTTGTGCTAATTGCAAGGTTGATGCACCAATATTAGAAAAGTTTAAATGTGGCCCACGTTAAACTTAAAACAAACCTTTTTCGTTTTACATAAGATAATAATGAAAAAAATTATTTACTCACCGATATTCGACCGATTTGGCATAATAAGATTTAACAAGACCCGATATATAAAAAGGAATGTACTGCAGCAGTCTCATGAAAACAAGTGTAGTTATTAATTTGATATTTGACAACTCGAGAAAAATTTTTATATTTGACTTGTTTTGACAAAATCTTGCCTGCTTATCAATTATACATTAAAAAAATTTTTAACTAGGAGAATATGTGTTAGAAAGCATGATGTCCGGTCATGATTACAGTTTCGAAGGTGCTGCAATTTGACGACGGTAAAATTGATCACTCTTACTAAATCTTTCATTATTTTATATGCCGACACAGCTTCAGATATCACGCTTTTTCTGGTAACTAAATTGTTAAGTATTGTCTACAATATTCTTTGTCAGGTCCAACGACGCAGGTACAAGTAAGTTTACACTCTCTCCGGCTTCCTTTTTATTTTTTCCTTTTTCTTCTCTTCTTGCCAATCGTGTCCGTAGAAAACCTGACTCAAATTTAATGGATTCATCCTTCATAGTAGGAAATGAATATTGATCGATTGGGATTTGATTTATAAATCCAGTTACAATTTTTTATGGAATCGCAATGGCCATCTGGCTATGTGCCGTTTTCAGTTGCCAATTCTGTCAATCGAGAACTTTTACTATAGTATAGGTACATGATCTGGAACCGGTGGTAGAAGCCATACTGAAATATACACAGGATAACGAAATTCGATAACGAAAATTTATGTCTAACTAGGTTCTCCAATTGGATAATAATTAATTTTTTATTCGATTTATATAACACATTGTTTATATTATGTAAATCTTATAACTAAGTGAATAAAACAAATAAATATTTTTGGCAGTATACATAGTGGCTCACCTTACCATTACCTATACGTGATAACATTACATGTTGAACAATATTGTAGAGAATAATGATACAATATTTTAATAATATCGTTCAAGTCCAAAGAAGATAATATAATCATAAATACACAGGAGGGGTTTATATAAACTATTAGTTCCAACCTACAAAATAAAGAGGTATATACTTTCTTAAGATGTGATTCAATTTCTATGTATAAAGTAATTTTAAACTATATCTCATATAGTGATTCAATTTCTATGTATAAAGTAATTTTAAACTATATCTCATATAATCTCATATATATATATCTTTATTATAATTAATAAAAAAATATCTCTAGATCCTTCACATCTGATTTTCAAGCCATTCTGAGCTGTTAAAACATTAAAATAATACTTATTATGTTGCACTGATCAATCAAAAATGTATAATATAACCATGAATGAATATTATTTTCATAGTGATGAATATTATAATATTCATTTATAACATTGTTAAAAAATATATGTAAATTGTGCATCAGTGACTAAAACTATCTATAATTCTACGATACTCAGGTAACGGGTCTGTAAGTTTACTGTAGTTTTCAGCACAATGCATATTTTACAATATTCTTTGGCAAGGTGCAAATGATTCTCGACTTGTCTAAATCATAATTGGATTGTCTATTAAACAAAAATTTTTATCTATTAACTCGAAGTCTGCAATCGTCGTTATATTTGTCTGGTTGTTATTTTGTCTGTCAACTATCATAACTTTTGCTTTGAAAGTGTTAATCCTTAGTACTTATGCATGTCAATTTTTTCATTAGTAGGGTGAGCGTATTTTCATTGGATCCCAATATGATTGTGTCGTTCGCATAACGCAAGTTATTAATTCCTCCTGTAGATATGATGACATTCGAATTTTCGAGTATAAATCTCACATGTACTCAGGATATACGTTAAACAATACTGACAAAAGAATGCAGCTTTGTTATGCAGCATATTGTTATTGTTGTGGATTCACATATGTGTATATATATGCTCTCATGCCACAAACGTAATCAGATGATTTCCCCTTGTCTGTCTAAATAACAGCTTTTGGTATGACATATGATTTTAAGTAGTAGCCAATGTCTTTCTAATATCATCATCTATATTTTCTAGATCTCGCATGACCAGTGGCTCTAAGAAATTGAAAAATGAATGACGTGGCACTTTATCCATTTCTTTACTGCCATAACTGTTAGGTTATGTTATGTTTCTAAAAAAATATTTGGTGTTTGGTATAGAGTTTTTAGTCTAGTATTTTGCTGTTTCGCTTTGGAGGACCATTCGTTAGGTCCTGAAGAGTAACTCTGCTGTTGTACAGCTTTCACAGCTTTCACAGTGTGGTATATAACAACTGATGTAATGATTTCCCAAAATGACCAAAATGATTCGTCGACATTTGCCAACAGTCAAAGGAGATAACATCGATTAACAGCTTTTTATATTATAAAACGGGCATGTTGGCAGGCCAAACTTATTTATATTCCAAATCTATGTAATTTTGTTTGTTATAATCAAAAAGTTATTCTTCAATATAAATTAGATGGTAAACCCGAGAATATAAATACCTCCAGCTCAAAAAGTACCCGGATTATGTAAATAAAACACACAAATTTAAATTTTATTCCAAATTTATTTCATCTCCTTCAAAATATGCTTCTTCTGAAGCGATACACATATGCCAATGCTTAACCCAATCTTCCATACACTTTTCGTAGGCCCGTGCAGGTGTGGCTTTTAGTTAATTCGGCGAATTCTCTTTTACCTATTCAATCGACTCAAAACGCTTACCACAAAGGGGCAGTTTAAGTCTCGGGAACAGGAAAAAGTCACACGGATCTAGATCTGGCGAATATGGTGCCTGAGCGATGACAGTGGTGTTGACAGCCGTGTTTGGTCAAAAAATCGCGGACAACAAGAATTTTCCATAGTAAAAATTGCTGAATGCACTTGAGGTAGTCTCACACTAACAACTGCTGTAAACAAATTAATTGACAGATGGTGCTCAAATTTGTACCATATGTCAAGAAAGGGTGTACCAACATAACAAAAAAAATTTAAGGAGTAGTTAACAAACAACAGAATAATTTTTATACTTTTTGAGCAGAAGGTAATTTCTAGGTGAAGGTTATCAAAATCATACCGAAATTTGAAGATTTGAAATCTTACATTTTACAATTTTAGTATTTTGTGAGTCAGCTGAGGATACAATATCCTCGAATACATTCCTCGAACTTGTGTTGTGTTGTATGTTGTCTAGCTTCGTGTGTATTCTATCATAACAAATACATTTTTTTCCTTCTGTCGTTTATATTTTTTTACGTTTGTTATGTCTACAACTAATTTATTCTTATCGTATTTAGAGACTTATTTTTTAGAGACTTATTTTAACACCGTATTCATTAGAAGTGCAAACCGAACTCATATGATGAGTGTACACATATATCCGTTATATGTAATTGTACATATTTTTGTATAAACAATTTTTTATAAAAATTATATATTGTTTATATAATATAAACAGCAAAACAAAATATCCACGAAACTTTCTCAATCATCACAAACTTTTTAACCAGGCAATTTATGTAGCATACGGCATGTATTAAAGATAAAAAATATTATTGGTGAGATCTCAGATAAATATACAGAAATTAAAAGTCATAAAAATTTTGTACCATCTCATGTTTATTAAAAAAACTTTAAAAATTATATGCCATATTTTTTAATTGTTAAACAAAACTCAATTTGGAATTTTAAAATTAATAAACAAATTTCTTTAAACCTTTGGCATCACTTCATACCGTTCAAGCGATGTACATTAATCTCGTTAATATATGCGACTTTATTCTATTTTTGAAAGCCTTTTAACTTTTAAGAGTTGGACATTAAATATAGTGTTTTAGTAAGTTCATCTATGTGCTCTTGTTTTATTTTCACAAGATTTTCTAAAGACTGAATTTTTTTTTCGCTCACAGTGAGTTCCTTTAAGTTTCTTGCTAATTCCTTAACACATTCCTCATACTCTGCATAACTGATCATTTTCTTTGGCACCTCTACAGTGGAAGCCTCAACCTCTTCAGTGTTGATTACATTGATTCCTGCATTTCCAATAGACTTCTCGGAAATAGATTTCTCATCGATAGAGGAACTTTCTTCTAAAATAGACTTCTTTACATTTGAAAGCAATTCTTTTTCAAATGTCATTACTTTTGTAAGCAGAACTTCAATTTTACCCGTCTCGCATTTTGCCAATTGTTCCAACTTTGATTTGCTAAGTTTCATATTTAGCTTACTAAACACCTTATTGTTTATCGTTTCCCAATTAGCCAGCTTAGACTGATACCCATGGCACCCAGAATAGTTATGAATATCGACTAGTTTGGGTACAATGTCTTTTAATAACTTAGCCATCAAAACTGCATCAGAGAAAATCTTATTTAATTTTTCAGTTGGAATTTTATGATTTTTCAGCCATTCAAGCAAGTCATCGTCTTGAGACACATTTTTTGAGACGTGTTTTGAGTCGCATCCATGTTTTGCATTACGTGAGTTCATTTTTAAAAAAGTTTTTCAGAAATTAATTTGAGTAATGATTATACTAACAAATATTTATGGTACAGAAAAAATATTAAAAAAATATTTTAAGCTTTGTTAACTTAAAACATAAAATTTATTTCAAGGTTTACTCTGTATTTTTACATATCACATTATCAAAGATTTTTTTATTTTTTCGGCTCAACTAAGTTGTAATATTTGTTATTATTCCAATATCTGTGTAGATAAAGAGATTGTTAGGTCCATGTGAGAAGCAATCTTTGTCTAGAACTTAATCGCACAGTTCTAAGGATAAAGCCTGAACTCCGTTTGTTTGTTACATTTGAAATAAAAAAATGTTTTTTAATATTATATTTTAACAATTCTATTATAAACTATAATGTTATCTTAAGGCTAAATTATAAACAATATTTTTTTTTTCCATTTTGAGCATTTATATTATATCATATATATTATATTATATTTATAATTTATAAATTATATATAGATCAGAAAGTTCTCCAACACGGAAACATGTAACACACAGCTCCCAGTCCACATACTTTTAATGTTTGACCTTAAGATTAATTAATTGTCATCGCCAATACCAAAGGAATCGGAAATTTCAATCGTTTGAATTAAATTGGAATATCGGTTGGTGTAATTTGTATGCGCGTACGCAATAAATTTTCTCCTCTGAATTTTCCACTTAATATTATT